GCCACATCTTGCTGCTGCTGCTGCTGCTGCTGCTGCTGCTGTAGTTGCTGTTGCTGCTGCTGCAGCGCTTGCTGCTGCTGCAGTGGCTCTATTGCTGCAGCAATACGAGCAGCAGGCTGCGCATGGAAGGCGAGCAGCAGCAGCAAGGAGAGACACATATCCCCTAACTCTACAGGTACATAAACCCTACACAGCTGCTGCTGCTGCAGCAGCAGCTGCTTCTGCTGCTGCTTCTGTTGCTGCTGCTTCTGCTGCTTCTGCTGCTGCAGCAGCTGCGAGACACTCAAGCCAAATGCCTCACCAGAGACACTCAGACTCCATATACGCAGCAAATATGCTGCAACCTCTGCAGCAGCAGCAGCAGCAGCAGCAAACAGCAGCAGCAAACATTGTCCACACATATAGCTGCAGCAGCAGCAACAGGACCAGCAGCAGTAGCGACACCAGCAAACTCGATCATCTGCTGCACCAGTAGAGAATCAGCAACAGCAGCAGCAACATCACCAGCAGCAGCAGCAACAGCAGCAGCAGCAGCAGCAGCAGCAGCAGCAGCAGCAGCAGCACGTACCCTTAGGCTGCTGAGCAAGAGGCCCCTGTGTATCCCACATATGCATAAGGACATCAGCAAATAAGCAGCAAATTAAATTGCATGCAGTGCTGCTGCTGCACTCAAATATATATTGCTGCTGCTGCTGCTGCTGCTGCTGCTGTTGCTGTTGCTGTTGCTGCTGCTGCTGTTGGTGATGCTGCTGTATCTGCTGCTGCAGTTGCTGCTGCTGCTGCTGAAAATAATTGTAGAAAAGAGGAGCACTATGTGCTGCTGCGCTGCTCAATGGCGGCAGCAAATTGGGCAGCAGAGATGCAGCAGCAGCAGCAGCAGGAGGAGGAAATGTCAAGCAATAGCTGCATGCGCTGCTGCTGCTGCTATTGCTGCTATTGCTGTGGTCAACGACTGGGTTTGGGCTGCTGCTGCTGGTGCTTTCATTGCTGCTGCTGCTGTTGCTGCTGCTGCTGTTGCTGCTGCTGCTGTTGCTGCTGTGCTGCCCTGTAGCATCTTGCAAGGGTACCTGGCTGCAGTTATTTACGCTGTCTTGTGCAGCAGCAGCAGCAGCAGCAGCAGCAGCAGCAGCAGATGCTGCTGTTTCTACCTCTGAAGGTGCTGCTGTAGTTGCTGCTGATTGTGTTGCTGCTGCTGTTGCTGCTGCAGCTGCTGGCAACGCTTCACCTGCTGCTGCTGCTGTTGCTGCTGGAGTTGCTGCTGCTTCTGCTGCTGTGTGCTGCTGTTCCTTGTAGCCTGCTGCTGCAGCAGCAGCAGACCCCTCATCCTGTTCCTCTTCCTCGTCCTCATCAGCAGCAGCAGGAGGAGCAGCAGCAGGAGGAAGAGGCAGCAAAGGACAAGCCTTAGCAATAATTTGCTGCGGGCATATAACAGACAGCAGCAGCAGCAGCGCAGCAGCAGTTTGCTGCTGCGCCTCCAACATAATAGGTTGATAGAAGCAAGGAGGCTGACTATACACCATAAATCTTAGCATTGAATCCATTAGCTGCAGCAAACACGAACTCCTGCTGCTGCTGCTGCTGCTGCTGTTGTTGTTGTTGCTGCTGCTGCTGATGGGGCTGAGTTGCCTGCTGCTGCTGCTGCTGCTGCTGCTGCTGTTGCTGCTGCTGCTGTTTTCTGAAGGATTTAGATCATCGTCTACAGGGATCCATAAAGGCAGCAAATACAAACGGAGAATGTTGCTGCTGCTGCTGCTGCTGTTGCTGCTGCTGCTGCTGCTGCCTCCATTAGGAACGAAGGCATCAGGGTATGTAGCTGTTGCTGCAGCAGCAGCAACAGCGCTCCACTCATCGTGTGTTTGCTGCTGCTGCTGTTGCTGCAGCTCCTGCTGCAGCTGTTGTTGCTGTTGTTGCTGCTGCTGCTGTTGCAGCAGCAACGCATGCACTGCATCAGGGGAAGCAACATCAGCACAGGACAGCAGCAGCTCTTGCTTCGGTTGCTGCTGCAGCACAGAGAAGAGGAAGCCTCTTGCTGCTGCTGCTGCTGCATCTCGGGTGTATGCTGACCTTAAGAAAGACATTACCTGCTCATACACCTCAATGCTGCTGCTTGGCTGCTGCAGCAGCAGCACCTTCTCTCTGTATATTATCTGCAACACATAGTTGCTGCTGCTGCTGCTGCTGTTGTTGCTGCTGCTGCTGCTCTTAGGATTTCCCAGTCCGCTGTCTGCTGCTGGAGATTCAGCCGATTGTTGCACCTCATCTGCTGCTGTTGCTGCTGCTGTTGCTGCTGTTGTTGCTGCTGCTGCTTCTTCTTCTATTTGTCGATCAGCAGCAGCAGTAGCAGCAACAGCAGCAGGAAGATATTCAGCAGCAAGAAGTATTTGTGTTGCTGTTAGCTGCTGCGTTAGTGCAGCAACAACAAGACGAGTAAGATAAGCAGCATTCCTTAGACTACCTGCATCAGGTGCAGCAGCAGCAACAGCAGCAGCAGCAGCAGCAG